CCTACTATTGGACAGGGGTCCATAGTCAGACCGTCTTAGCTGTCTATTCTATTCTCTTTCGACTATTTTCTGACCAACATGCTGCGAAGTGAAAACAAGGGTGTGAGTCAAACATCTTTATATATATATATATGATCATATTTATATAGAATAGTTGCATACAGGCCCCATGAATGACCCTTCTATGACCATGCAAGCAACAATGTTCCATAAAAATGGATGACTTGGGGTGGAAGAACAACCCCAACCTGAGTGCAACATGCCCTGATGGATTTGCAGAAACCAACCGGATCCCCAAGCATCAAGTAGATCGAATAATTTTATGGCAGTTAGAACTGAAGCAATCTTGGATTTTTCACGGTGCAAGTCAGTGGAATGTGTTTTTGTTTACCACTACCACCAGGTGGGAGTTTTTTAAGGCATGAATACCGTTGTTACCGCCGCTGGCGACACAGGCCTTGCTCAAGGAGACCTTGAGACGAGCGTAACCGTGCCGGTTTGGTCAGCGCCCAGGGGGTCCGAGGGGGTTCGGTGGACGGTGAGGAGTGGTGAAACATGGTGAAAAACGCATTTTGGGGTGGAACTTTTGGGTGTAACCTGCACCCCCGCAGCACCACCCGCAGCACCACGTGTTTCAGAAGACATGTTTCAATGTTTCAAGGGATTGCACCTGAAATGTTTGTGTTAGTCAGCCCATCACTTGAAGCCACTGGAGGCCCTGAATCTACTGGAGCCGTTTCGCTCATTTGATCTGCAGATCCTTTATATATCATCCTTTATCACTGCATCCTACTTTATTCACCAAGATGACAACCTAAAGACTTAAAAGATATGTTATCATCACTGGCATCCTGGCACTGGCGGTCGAATCAGCTTGGCAGCCTCTTTTGTTCGTCCGGAGGAGCAGCCCACAGAGCCAGTGGACTTCATTTGCAAGTACCTCTCGGTGCCCTCTGAGTTTGGACTTCGCGGAACCCGGGGGTCCATGGGCGCCCGGTCCCCGGGGTGTTCGGCACCCATGGACGGCCCCATCGAATGTTTTTCCATGGAACAGTGACTCGAAAACAAGGATTTGAACATACAGTACATTTGAATGATTTGATGTGGCTTTTAATCCGCGGCTCTGAGCTGATACAAGCTCCTGTGTCTCCTGTAAGGTGGCACTGGAAGTATGTGGAAGTTTATTTTCATGATCACAGGGTGGTTGCTTGAGACCTGGGAGGTTTTGGGGGTTCCTTTCCCAATTGTCTGGACACACACCCACCCACCAGCCATCCCAAGGGCCTCGTCGAGTCTCACTGAGGAGTTGAGGTGATCCAAAATCCATCCAAAATGCTGTTCTGATGAGAGATAATGGGAGACTTATATGATTATATATATATATGTGTGTGTATATATATATATATATATATATATGCGTGTGTACTCCTGCACAAGGATGACACAAGCATTTTCAGAACCAGTTGCAAGATCATTGCAAGCAAACCCAAAAAAACAAAACAGGGTGCAAACGGACGGTCCGACAAGACCGTGAAATGTTGTGCTCCGCAATGTTCCGCTTCAACCCACATCCTGGTTTTGGGAATGCTTCCCAGGTGACATGGTGCAACCAAGCAAAATCCAGTTTCATCGAGGTTTACCTTCCCTTACTTACCGGTTTTTGAAATTCTCTTCAACTTCTGCCCCCTTGTTGCTAATGGACCTTTATTTTATTTCTACCACCACTAGATTAGTCGGGGTCAATCAAGAGCCCATGGAAATGAATCAGAGAACAAAACCTCAGACTCAACGCCAGTGCAGCAAGAAAGAACCCAAGCTGATGCCAGTGACCGGGGCCAAACCCGGCTCTAAGCCGATGAAGCTGAAGCAGGAGCTGCGCGGCGGGAAGCCGGGGGAGGGGATGAATGCAGCCGTGGGCGGATGAATTCCATCCAGCGGCATCGGAGTGGATATGATTTTGGGGATCATCTACACAGATTGTGCTTTGACATTCTATCATAGGAAAGCCTCAGCGGGTGAAAACAACTTATAGTGACATTTGCTTTCTAACGCGACCTTGCTCACCAATTTGCTTGAGGTTGTTTGATGAGACCGGACTACTCAGTTTATCCATGTTGATCCAATCCTCATCAATTCTCCATCCAGTCACAGGGCAGCTTTGATTGACCATGCCGAACCAACTGGTGGGTTCAAGACAACACAAGCTTCATGCGTTGCGGGGTTGCGATTTAGCATGTCCTTCTTTGTCTTCGAGTGCTGTCCAGCCATGCTGTTTTCGAAGGACAGGCAATTACATACCTGGTAGCATCCCGGAACTCCTTGGTACATTGAACAAGGCTATTCCGCAAGTTAGCATAGTGATAGGCTGGCGACCCTTGGTCCACAGGATTCCGGTTCCCAACCCGTTCTCGTGGGTGCTGAGTTTGTTTTGTCATGTTTTTCATGTCTCACTATTTGAAGACACCCCCAGATTGATTTGGCAGACAACTTCACGTGGTAGGAGTATGTAGGAGTGGTGGCTTTAAACCTTACCCTTACCTCACGTTCGCATCCAATCACCACCGCGTTTCTTTCGCCCGAACATGTCCAATTCAGGACCCAGACCCAGCTACAGGCGATGGGATGCCATGGGACCGATGCTGGATCCGATGTCAGAATCGCCCTAGTCCCAGGGTGGAGGCCACAAGGACGCTATTAGGAAGGCCACAAGTAGGTTGGAGGCCGCCACGAATGTAACAAGAAGCCACTAGTTGTCTTCCTTGTTTTCCTTGCTTCACAAATTCGCCCGGACTGGCCAACTTGAAGAGCTGTGTGGTGCAGAGAGAATCTGAGAGGGTTTTTGGCAAGCAAGGTTGGGATCCACGATCCGTTGTGGAAAGGGATTGAAGGCGTTCCTTTAAGTGTGTAATCTACACATATAAAGTTATGCATAGCTTAGGTATGCTAGGCAAGTCGTGGCGATTTTGTCTCAGTAGGTTTGCTCAATGTTCTTGCATCAAGCAGCAAGACCGAAGTTGAAGCCCGTCAGGTGAGGAGTCCTTCGTGGATCTCGAGGGGCACGGGCCCTGGCCGTCAGATCAAACTCTGGGCATGCTGGGACATGTGGCAGCAGCTGGACCAGTTTCAAAGTGCAAACTGGGAACCGGAACTGGTTTGACGCTTACAAGACGGGCTGCTTTCTTTTCTGTTTCCATTGGTTTTCCACGTGTTGATGTTACATCTTGCAAAAGTTGGATAGATTGCCCAGAAGGTGTCGCCTATTTTGCGTAACAGTGCGAAACCATGCGAAACCATATGTCCAGGCTCACAGAAAGGTAACAGTACCTCATAGTGTGAACAGGCATTGACATGTACAAATATGCACAAATGTCGAGCATGTGCATTTGCACCGTGTCATGTTCACCAGTCTTTTCTTACTGATTGAGTCAGGAAATTGCTCGCGTAAATGGTGCAGTGAGCAGGAGCTAGACCCAGATGTGGCACGCATGATGTCAACCCTTTTGGATGAATAGAGGAAGGGGGAACCAGCCAGCAACCTACCTTCTCTCCTTGCTGGAGAGTCCGGCTCAGGCACAATTTGTTCCACATGTGTATGCCGTTTCGGAATCATTTGTCTATTATTACTGTATATTAAAAAACCAAACAAACAACCTTCTTTTAAGTGACAAATGGCCCGCTTGGGATTGATCAAACAGGTGACGACACCACTTCCACGATGATTTCAGAGTCAACACCACTTGTAATTACCTCAGTCAGTACCTCCCACCCACCCAACACCAGAGGTCCCCCTGGATGGTCCTCTCTCACCCGCCGCGCGGCTCCCAGGGGCGGAACGGCGGATCCCCGCAACGACCTGCCGGACGTGCGCTCGGAGATGAGACAGCTCCTGGTGCCGCCGCCGCGGAACGCACGCGGTTTCACGGGCGCGCCGTTCGACTGGCGGCGGTGTTTGGAACGAAGTCGGTGTGGGTGAAGAGTGAAGGGCCTCCAGACCCCTAGGGTCGAACCGGCAATAAGTTTTTATTTTTTTTGGGGTTGCAAGCAATATGATGATTTGGAATCAACTCTAGAACATTTAGGGCGTGCAAATTGTCTCGAGTGAACACGGTGAAATGATGTCTTGCCACAAGCCACATCACACCAGCAACTTTGGAGCTTTGTTTGCCACCACACTTATCCAAAATGGTTTGTGTGAGACCGTCCCACTTGGTGTTTGTGCTTATTGTACATGTCACGCCGGTTTCGTGCGTGAGCCGTCCTAAAAACGGTCAGGTAAATTGGATTTAGGACAAACCCTACTGTATATGATTGTGAGTCATTGCCATTCGGAAAGCAATTGACTTTTTTTCTACCATATATACAGTCATTGAGCAGTAATCCAATGTATATAACCCCTTACAAATCAGATGATTCGGAGCAAAGTTCAGCTCACTTCCTTAGACTGTTCTTGTGTTCATCACCATGCTGCCCAGCATTGCCTGTGAAACTGCCGCTACAAACAAGGCCCAGACACATCCAGACACTTGACTTCCTTCTGTTCGATCAGCCATGCACATTCCGTGCACATCCAGGTGGAGGCTGCGGGGAATGGCCAGCTACGAGAGGCCTTGAAAGACTTCGATGATGCGAGAGGGCCTGGAGAGTTGGCACCGTCGATGAATGACGGTGAACTGCTGTGAATAGGGCTGCCATGCCGCATAGGGGAGACATCCAGGCAACACCCCCAACCAATGGGTTTGGTTGGTCAATATGTATATTTCAATATTATGTTGCAGGTGGTTGATCATATTTGTGCAGATGATGCGATAGGATATGATATGATATTCAAGAGGTTCACAATCAGACGAACCGAATGCAGAACATAAGTTGTATTATAACTTGGGCTGCTGGGACATTGGTAGCAATACTTTCCCCAATCCAACAGTGGGTCAGAGTCATATGCTTGTTTTGAAGGGCAGGCAGTTTGTGAGCCTAGGTGTCACGGTCTCCAATTAATGGCCATGGATAGGGTATCATAGAATCCATGGCATTGTTCCTGTACACTTCCATGTGTTTTGTCCAACATCGAGTCATGAGATATCATAACTCCAAGGGATGATGCTTGATATGTTCCACTACTGGGGATACACATATACTGTGTATTGAAGGTAGGGTGGTATAGATGTGCACTTGAGCCCCGTTGAAGTCATCCGGGGGTGGGAAGTGGGGAACTTGGATTCGTCATGATTCATTAAGGGAGGCACATTTTTGTTGAGGCAAACTAGGTGCTGAGTACCCCCTCAGGGCACCAGCACCGTTTGCGGATCAACAGTCATGGACAATGGGTATGGCGGAGTTTTGGCACTGTGTTTGGCTCAAAGCATCCATTGTACATGACGGATTGTTGGGTCATGTTGGGTTGCTGAAGGGGTTTTGTGTCCCAAAGTTCTATACTCTGATGACGCTAAAAAGGCCATGCAACATGCACATGAATTTGAATCTCTCGCCTCCCTCCCAAGAAGTCACTCCAATGTGAAGAGCTCCACAACCTGCATTCAATATAGTCCTGTTGCAGCTTTTTTCGTCCAACCTGGGATGGAATTCTTTTGTCATTCGCTGGTCGTAGCCTTCAATCATTGAGCACGCGGGGGCTGTTTCTCAAGAACGAAGTGTACATAGGTGTGTCTTCAGAATGGAGGCCCCCAAGCCAATGGTCCACCTACTCTCCCTCCGTCTCCCTCCAAAAATCACGGAAGTGGAACACGGGTCCTTCCTTTACATGTGCACCGTAATTACGAAAGTAAAGACATATACAAATAAAAAAGCGGAGGGGGTTGTTCAATTCAAAGGAGGAATGATCAAATGATGGAAAGGAATGGTCAACATGACGGAAAGGGGGTCAAGCACGAGTGTTGTGGTCGTGGTTGTTGTTGTTTTTTTAATGTGTGTTTTTGCCACTTCCCATGGATTCGAGAAAGCGCCTAGGAGAGCGGCCGAAAGGCGGAAGCGGTCCGAGAAAAGGCCGGGAGAAGGTGAAGTGGTGAAGTGGAAGGGCGCACGTTTTTGGGGGGAGAAGATGAAGTGATGCATGTTCCACATCTACCAGGGTTTGAAGATGTTCAAAGTTTTTGGATCAATGGCTCTTGGAAGACATGTTCTTTCGCATGTTTGACCACATATTGATTGCCTTAACTCAGGGACATGCTGTATTTCGCTGAGCAATTCCTCGGGCCTTCGGGCAATCACCTGCCTAGGCAGGCGACCTGCTGATGGCGGCTACTGAGAACGGAGACTTCGAGAAGATCTTGAAGGAGAGGGGACGGCCAAGCCGTGTGGATTTCGTGGCACCAAGAGAGAGGGGGAAAAGCCGACGAACGTGGCCCTGGAGTGTTTTTTGGAACAAGGGTGGTTGGTTTCACCATGTTTCACCAGACATAAATACCTACGGTTTACCTGCATTTTGGATGGGAAACTGAGGGAGTCAGTGAAGCGTGGAACATTTTTAGCACACTAGGAGTGTTGGAAGAGCACCACCCCACCAAGCCGCAGGTGTCGTTCGTCAATGCCTTTCAAGCACACATTTGATAACGTTGGCAAAATGTTGGTAGAAGAAAGGTTACGCACGAGAATTGTCCAAAAGCTGCTTTTGATTGCTGGGTGCATGCTTCAAACCGACCTTTGCCACAAAAAGTGGGATTCCCCAAATGCGTCCAAATGCCCAACTTGAAGTATTTTAAATGCCTACTGCAACTTATATGGGCCACGGGCAGTAATGCTTTGCCAAGCGGTCATTGTTCCATCAAGAGAAGTGCTCCCACACAGCATGGCGAGAACCTTGTGCTGATTGGGAGAACTTCACTTGCTCGGAGGATCTCCAGTCAAGCGATGCAGCCAAGAAGAAGAATGTCGATGAGATAAGGACAAAGGCGGAGAAGCAAAGCAACGGTGTACGTTTTTGCTAAGCACGAGCAACATAGAGCAAGTCAACAGGCTTACAGCGCTCTATTCAATTCTTCCACTCTCACATTAATGAGCCAGGAAAGTCGAAGACAATGTGTTCACGAAGGGGGTATCCACTAATTAAATATATATATCTATACAAGTCACGACAGCTTGCAAACAAGACCTTTGGTGACTCTTGCTAACAAAAGGATGCAACCTTTTGTGGGGTGCCACGAAGCTTTCCATGTCTTTGCATGACCCAGATCACTGACCAGCTCGCCGGTCAGGCTGCCCAATTGTTGGTGAGCTCTGCAGACAACGGAGATCTCAGAAAGGCGGTCATGTGGTGAGCTCTGCTGGGGGAACTCGGCTTGGAGAAACTGTATTATCACTGGAGCAAACCTGGGGGCGGCCATGCTGTTTTGCGTTTGCAAAAGGGTTGGTTTTCTTGGAAAGTCTCCCCTCTTTGCAACTCGACCACTTCCAAGTCAATATGTCTCGCTTTACACCCCGCTCCAATTAGAAATAGTAGAAATGGCCCCACCGAGGGGGAACAACCATTCTTGAGGAAGAGGCCTGCGATCCAAAGGCCACAGCCCCTATAGTGCCCTACAGGGCAATGGCACAGAAACATATACGTACATATTAATATATGGTACCCCCCCCCCCCATGTACCCCCATTTCTGTGAGGAAGATATGTTGCCAGATGTGCAGGGGGGTACCATATATATTGTTTGAACTATTGGGGACAAGTCGTACTTCACACATCTATATTGTTTGAACTATTGGGGACAAGTCGTACTTCACACATCTGAAGGTCAAGAAAGTTTCAAAAAAGTTTTAAAAGTTTTAAAACTTTTGGGAACTAAGAACTAAGAACTAAGAATGCACAGAACTCTTGGGGACAAGTCTTACTTCCCACATCTGAAGGTCAAGAAAGTTTCTAAAAAGTTTTAAAAGTTTTAAAACTTTTGGGAACTAAGAACTAAGAACTAAGAATGCACAGGAGAGTCTGGGGGAATCTTAGTTCTTAGTTCTTAGTTCCAGAAAGTTTTAAAACTTTTAAAACTTTTTTGAAACTCTTGTATGGCAAGGTTTTCTGGAACTAACATTGCTGTGGGAGAGTGTGGGGAAATCTTAGTTCTTAGTTCTTAGTTCCAAAAAGTTTTAAAACTTTTAAAACTTTTTGGAACTCTTGTATGGCAATGTTTTCTGGAACTCAGTTTTCTCTGCGAGAGTCTGCTGGTAAACTTACATCACACTTGCCGACCCAGCTGCTCGTTTTGTAGATTTTAGACTCGTAGACTCCCTCTCAACTTGAGTCATCTTTCGTCATGCCGTCCTTTGCGGTGTCTGGAGATGTATCCATGTCCGGAGACAGTGCCCAGCTGAGCCTCCAAATTTCTGAGCCAACCATCGAGACGCCCAAGCTGGATTTCAAAGCTCTGTGGGAACGCATTCTGGCCGGCAACATTCCTGTGCACCCTTCACGTATCCCCCTCGACAGGAAGACTTTGGCCATCATCATCAACAACATCCAAAAGACAAGAAGCCTTCAGCCGAGAGCAATCAAAAAAGGTGTGTGGACTCAAGCCGCCGAAGAGGATCTACGCAAGTGCCTTGCTTCAGCGAAACGTGTCCCCGCAGGAAGCAGCTCCAAGCTCGCAATTGGCCCAGGCGATAAGACTGAGTTGCTGGCAGCCCGCCTGCAATAACAGAAACTTTCTCCAATGTCGTAAGTCGTTTGTCGTTTGTCAAACCGACTTTGTTGTATAGTCATATCTCTTTCTCCTTTGCTGCCTGAGAACACCTGAGGCGCTCAAGGATCTCTCCGACTCCTCCGACAGCTCTGACAGCGACTCGTCCTCTGAAATTGATTTTCCACACTGATTCAGCTCGAAGCTATAAGCTTCGTCTGCCTATGGTTGTCCATGACCATGTAGTGCATTGTAAACAGCGCGTCAAGGTCAAGGGCAAATGGATGTGGAAGGCTCCCAAATATGTGTCTCTGCGCGAACACAAGTTGCCAGATTCAGGGAAAGTCATCAAGGTGAAGGCAGGCACCCAAATCATTGATCGTGTTTGGCGGTTCTTTAAGTCTCGCCTGGATTTAAACCAACATTCCAAGGCAGGCTCAGCAAGGCTCCGGGAGCAGATCCGGTCCATCCAGTATGAGTACTGGAATCGGAATAAGGATCTGTGGGTGGCTTCCGGTGACCTCTGCGCATGGTTGACACAAAAGTCTGTCAAGCCAGTTGAGTGAAGCACCTTCGATCAGGGATTGAAAAAGTCTGTGCTGGCTGTGTCTGCTTGTAAAGTAACAAATAGGACTTCTCTTGCGTCTGCTTCTCAGAAGGCTTCTCAAGTAACAAGTCGCAAGCTTTAGCATGCAACTGTAAGTATATCGTCTGCTGTCATCTGGTAAGCTTTAGCATGCAACTGTAAGTGTATCGTCTGCTGTCATCTGGTGCATCCTACGCAATACATATGCACTTGAAGCAAAACGGGGGTACATGGGGGGGGGGTAGCTAATATATATATATACCTGAGAAACAGTATGTTCATTTTTTTTGGTCATACGGCATTTGACCATTTTTTTTGGTCGTTACGGGGTTTGCCCAAATACCGGGTATTTTCGGTTTCCTCTCTTGGCTCAATAGGGTACCGTATTCGGGTGTTCCAACGCAGTATGCGCACTAGTATGTTGGAATATGGTTATATTGAAAAGATACTAGTATCATACGGGTACCCCCCAATATGCATGCAAATATGGCCAGTATACGGCCATATTCGTACACAGTTCCCATTCATACAACATGGAGTCCCCCAGAGAGATGTCCGTGCCCATATACGGCATATGCACCAAAAAACGGTCTATACGGCTTGAGGCCATAGTGATCAAAAAAAAAGTGATCATACGGGTTTCCAGGTATATAGACAAAGATTCTGAGTGCTCACTTGTCATTGCTTCAACCACGAGTTTCTGGAAACTCGTATGCAGTACCTCCCTACAGCCCTAGCCCTACTCTCTAGATGACAATCCCCCGGACTGCCCCGGACCGCAAGCCGTGGCCGGGGTCCCCGGACGGACCGCGACCGCGCACGGAAGGCCCTGGCGGAGATCCGCACCATGCCGGCGCAGCCGTCGCCGCGGCAAGAGACGCGACGAAAGGCCGCGGAGCTGCTGGTGGAGGCGGCGGACAACGGCCCGGACCGCCTGGTGAACGAAAGAGTGCTGCGGAACGAACCTGCTCGGACACCCTTTTGGTTGGGGGCTATGCGACTCACTTAGGAAATCGAGGGATCCCCATTCGGCCGAAAGCGACTCACTCATCAAAATTCCAAGCACCCGAGTGGCACACGGAGGAAGATTTGACTTCCAGGCTTCAGACATCCCGCTCTCCATGTTTGAGGGATTTGCTCCACCACCCACGGGGAAAGAACTTCATTGGTGCATGGGAGATATTTATTACGTTTTGTCATGATCACAGAATACACCTAGAACCCCGCTTCAATGGCAAGACAGTTGGCATCATTACTGTTTCAATTACAACAATTATGAAATCATGAGTCAATACTCAATGTTTTGTATGTTATTTGCATGTATGTACATGTAAATATCATGTATATACAGTATATATACATACATGTATACACAGACACAAGCAGCACGTGATAGATTTCCTTGTTGTAATGAAAGAGGGCAGCGTACGTCGCTGACGATTTACCGAGCGCCAGTGTCGTGGCAAGCAAGGTCAGCTCAAGAAGGCCTTGGAAGAGATCAAGAGCCTTGGCCTTTTGCAGATCTGACACTTGTGCTTGCAGGTTTACTTCATTTTACTGTGTTTTTGCCTCTCTTTCTGGGCGTGGCATACCAAGCAATCCGTAGTTCTTAGGCCATGTTGTGCAGCGCATTGGTCGTGCGTTGTTCCTGTTTTGATTCCTGGGTGGTTTGTGGGATGACGGTGATGATGGTGATGCACCCCCTTGAAGTCCAAACATGGCTGTGTTCGGCGGTCCACCGCTTTCCAACGTGGCCAGGGGCAGCCCGAGCGGCCCCAACCTACAAAAGCTACAGATGAAAGTGGGTGATGTGTCACTGGGCAAGTCACTGGGTGGGGAGAGTTGGTGCAGATGAAGACTCGAAGACCGAAAGGCTTGAAGGATCTTGAAGGGAAAGACCTGCCCAATTTAGGTCTTTTTGACTTCATGTTGGGTCACTATTGCTTTGGCGTGCCAGACAGGGGGACTTCCATGTGAACATCTAGAAGAGTCAATGCTGGAATGTTGGCATCCCGAGTATTTCTTCATGCGGGTGATTCCTGAGCTTGAAACCACTGGGGCTTTGAGGATATTTGAGGATTGTCATTGTTTCATAAGTGGTCTTCAATGGTTCAACATCAATTACTTGTTGACGTGAGCGACCCCTTTAATAACACAGCTGACAGACTGTGGTTTGAGTTTGGGTGTGTCTCAAGCTAAGAGGCAAAGACCAGAGGTAATGGACATGCAGAAATGGATGAATGCATTAAGGCTCTCACGATATGTCATGATGACCTGTCCAGAAACTTATATATTATAATGGTAATGTAAACCTCTGAAGATTTTGCAGATATACACACTTAATCACACTTATATAATATACAAATATATTATATAATATACAATCTTAATTACAAGATGTGTGTGTGTGTGCACGATAGATCTTGAGCTGGCATGAGCTGATTTCGATGATCATGAGGCCCGGCCCCTGGCACATGTCTCCCAACATCTCCCAACTGCTTGGGACACAACGTCTTGTCCCACCGGTTTACCGACCCAGACCGGTGTTCACCGGCGTGAGCGACGGTCACGTGATCGTCCCGCATGAGCAGACCGGTGTTTTTGTCTATGGAAAGGAGACATGCACAAGCAGAACTTGTTAACTTTCCGCGAAAGCAAATGTGCGAAGCTTCTTCTTCCGCAAACAACATGTCATGTTCTTTGTTTGAGCGTGTGGTTTTACGAAGCCGAGCAAGCAGCATTTGAAGAACAGCTGAAAAGATGAGAATGACAGCTGAACGACAACCATAGCATTCTCTTGAAGCGTACCAGCGACGACGATGACGCAGGCACAAAGCAACGCCACTTTAGATAGACTCGAGACATTGCAGAGGCTTCAGCATTTGCTGAAGCTAGAACGTTGTTGATGAGCTCCTTCATACGCTCATCGTTTCCGAGTCACATATTTTTGCCTACACTTCACGAGTCATAGGAGGCATGTTTCGCTTGGGCGTCCGACCCATACATCCAACCTCTCTGGGCCGCGGTCGACACGTCACCTGAGGTTGATGGCAGCCATCGAGAATGGGGACTTGGAGAAAGCCATAAAGGAAGTCTCCGAGAATCCGCCGGCGGACCCGGCTGCAGGTCCGCGCTGGGAACTGGGGGCATCGCACGTGTAAGGCCAAGCGAGGCCAATGAGCAAAAAAGGGCAAGGTGGGCCCTTTCATGTGGCGAATCTCGTGGAGCTGGGGTGTAGGTCAATGCCTAGAAGATACTGTTTTAAATTGTAGCGACCAGATGAGAGTTGCATCCATTCGTTATTTTAAGCTAGCTGATGCTAGCTGTTTCTCATGAGCCACGTCATGTCAATTTCACTGTTCAAGCTGGGCCATGAGATGCTAGGCGCCTCCTGACTGCCGATGAGTATCAGCTACCAGAGATGAATGTGATTTCAATCGAAGCATTGAGCACGACCGTGTGATGCTCCAAGGTGAATCGCATGTGGAACAGCTCCAAAAGTTCTGACGTGTAATGCAGTGTGTCCACCTAGTTTGCAAGCTGAGATCATCACACAGTTATGCAAGTTTGTTCGTAAATCGTGTGGTTTCTTCATCTTCTTGCATTGACGCCCTTGCTTGTGGGTTTAAGGGACGGCACTGGTGCAATTCACCTGGGAACTGCCTGCGAACACCGCGGCGGGTCCTGTATTGTAGGCGGGTCCTGTGGGTCTGTGTGACTGACAGCCGATGGGGGCAGCTGTCTTCAGATGGGTTCGTCGAATGGAAAAGTGCAGGGACCCTGTTCTATTCTTTCTTTGGACATGTGATATGACACCATCGCGGGGATCAACTCGTGTGATTCAGTTTCAAGATCCAGAAGGCAGGATGAGTATGGCTGCCTTCTCGCTGTCCATATGGCGGCATCTGGCGCAGTGCCTGGGTTGATGTGATGTCATCCGAATTATGAAGCAGTTTGTTTCTCACAAATTGTTGCAATCAGAAGATGGTCATTGCAGGATTTGTTCCCTGCTATCGCTACCAGCCGCTACCAGCGTAGATCCAGGTTTACGGGTTCTTTCGCCACAGGGCTTGGTCTTGTGAGTGCACGTTGTTCAAGGGTCTTGTTCCACGTGCTGTATCTGAAGAAAATCAGTTCAAGCTTTGAAGATCATTATCCTGCAAGCATTGTCTTCCTTTCTGCCTTCAGCCGTCTTGTAGAGTTCTGTTGCGCCTTTCGAATTGAAGCAACTCAAAGGGCCCAGTCCCGCCAGCGTCCCGCCTTGTGCACCCGAGTGACCCAACACCAAACAGACAGCAGGTTGGCAAAAAGGCATGAGTTGAGCTGAGCCCTATAGGGTTATAGTCATAGTCGTGATGTGTAGTGTTATGTTAATATACAAGATCATACAAGTAGGTGCAAGTCCTAACAACTGACCTTCCTCCTTTGGTTTGTGTTCAAGTTCCATGATGGAGATGGATGTAATTTCTATCAGGTAGCAGGGGGAGTGACCTAGTGGTTTGCGTGCTGGCCTGTTAGCAAAGGAAGGAGGGCGGCGGGTGGTCTTGCACAAGGCCATGATGGGTCCTGAGAGGACCTAGAGCACTGCTTGCATGTTTCAGTGATCCAACATGCATGGACTATACAGGCATGGCAGCTGAATTGCATATCTACTGTGACAATCACGTACTATTACCATGTGCCATGTATCATATATATTAGATGATGTTGATACATATGTCGCGCCTTATTGCAGTCGGAGGGATCACCTACAGAAGCTTGGAAGGATGAGTATGATGAGTCCACCGATCAGTATGGGCGGTGAGCCGACACTCCGCCGTGCAGAACAAAGCGCTTTGTGGAGTTTTGGCTCAGCACAAAGGAGGACTGAATGGGGACTGAAGAGATGCCTCAGACGTACAGCCGCGTCTTTTCACATACATCAGTGAAACATCAATGAGGCATCCATTGCACGTAGGATGAGTTCTCCGGTACATATAAGATTTGTTTATATGTGTTAACTTGTCTATGGACCAAAGCACGGATTCACCAAGCGTTGTTTCACCAAGAGAGCACGGTTTCGTTCTCACCAAAGAGGGATTGGGACACTGTTTCGCATCACCGAAGCCAACTGTTTCGGCCTTTGACTCCCTTCAGCGACCGACCGGTCCGCTCGCACCAACAGGACCGGACCGGACCGGACCGATGGAGGTCTGACCTGAAGAGGTCGCCGGTCACATCCGGTCACGGGCTACGTGTTTCGGGCAGTTTGTCGTGCTACCAAAGACGGTCTTGAACATGTCAGGGCACCCTGAAATCATGTTCACGTTCTGCTTTGAGTGTCAACCTACAGGCAACGTTTGGCCATAGATTGCGGCACAGCCAACAGAATGGTCTCCAGTATGAGAGAATCCACCTTCACTTCGCCAGGATGCTCCTCCCGGGCGTTGTGGCCTTCCCTTTGCGACAGATCGTGAAGCTGGGCCGCTGGGGATGAACCTCCCTTTGCGGCGTGAGAAATCAGGGTGGCCTCATGACCTCATGAATGTGACCTTCAAATGTAGATGGAGTGAGCGTAAAATAGTGTCAATGAGTCGCCTGATAGCTGGTAGAAATTGACAGAAGTAGTAGAAGGTGTTGGACATCGTGAAAACTGTCATGATTTTTTGTCTCTGGTGAGCATAAAGAGAAAATTGATGGCGTGGATTCAAGATGTTATATGTGTAAGGGGATGTGAAACTCCAGATGAAGCATGAACAACAATGATGTGCTGTTTTGTGTAAGATTCATGGGCTTGGACGGACTTGGACTAGTGCTTCACCATGTTCCTCGAAGACTAAGCCACTCCGCCAGGTAACAGATGGTGGGAATGATGTTTCTCCACTTACCCTACAAGAGTCATGGATGTGAAACAGACCCACTTCAACAGGAGACTCCTTTTGTGGATGTCCCTGTTCCACTTCCATGTTCCCTTCTGAAGATCGGCTGTGTTACGAGCTCCAACCATCCTGCGGTTTTCTCGCTAAGGCCTTATCATCATCCAGGCGATCTCGAAAGAACACTGGATGGGAGACAAGTGAAAAGTTTCTACACCATCATTCAAGCCAGCTGCACTAAAAGAAAATGTTTGGTTTGTCCAATGTTGTGTGACGATGGTTGGCTTGTTAGGTCTACGTCGTCTACGTATATATTATATACACACAACATCAAACAATCATTGGGTAGGATTTGCAAGTCAAGAAGTTAAATCTGAATGGAATGGTGATCTTGATTTCTTCAGTTTCAGGCGATCTTCCTTCTGTACTTTGCATTTGCTGCCTACGATGCTTGGCCCAGCTGGTGAATGCATGAAAAAACCTGGCTTGGCTATCCTGGCCATGTCTTTGTTCGGTGGGTCATGCAAGTAACCATTGACATCAGCAGGTTTTTCATACTTCCGTGGGTTGCACATGTAAAAAAGCATGGCCATTGAGAATCAGCTCCTACACATTTCACCCACCAACTCATTGAGAATCACGCTGTTGATTGGAGAGTCCAGCGCTGCCACAATTTCCCAACACCGAATGTCTCTGATTTGGGAGAGTCAGTGTTACCCTGGCAGCCAGGGAAACACTGTTTTAGGTTTTTACTACTGTATGCCTTATGATCCTTGTGTTATTTTCAGGCCACAAAAATCATGAGAGTTATATATATATACATATTGAGTGCACATACGGAGGGTCTAGGGGTATTGTAGAACCTAATAACTAGTTGATTGATTGGTGTTGGAGATATCATATTCGGACGATCCGCTCAGTCGCCTCCCAGGATATCCGCCTCCATGCTATCAAGACGCATCTTGAATGCGACCAGAGTGGACTCCTTGAGCTTCAACTGGGCTCGGAAAGGGAAGAGATTAACCCTGGCTTCTACTGGCCTGGTGAAGTCCAGCTTAAACACCCTGAAGTCAACTACGGAAAGAGAGAAACAAATATAGATAAACAATAGATAAAGAAATACATATCATATAATGGTGACTCTTGATTAGTAACCACCCCCCTCCCCCCCGGTCAAATCGATGAGTCTCCTGATTATACAACAATTGATAGTGCAACATCAATAGGAATTAAAAGGAAATCAACATTAGTTAAAAGATGTTAAAGGAAATCAAAGTGAGTTAAAATCTTACTAGAGCAATCAGGTAGACACTATTCTAGGGGTACTTATTATTGAAAAATGTAAAAGCGTAGACGGGAGGTGTTTAAATTAAATACCTAAAGAACAGACACTATTGCAGATGGTGACATTAATTTAGAGTAAAAATACAAAACGAAAAACTCAAAAAATAAAAAAAACATAATATGCATAAATATACAAAATAAATAAAACACAACAACAAAATAACACAATATAACATTTAAAAAAAAAAAAACATAAATAAATATACATAAATAAATACAAATAAATAAAGAAATATATAACATAAAAATATAAACAAAACACAAAACTAAGTATATAAATGCGATATAAAAACAGTCATAACGACAAATTGAATAAACACATATTTAAGAACACCGATGCATACTTCAATCCGGGGGGGTTACTAATTGGCAGTCGACATTAGGTATATTAGATAGGTGTGAATGGGTAGTACCACCGTCAGGTACGTTCAGAAATATGTAGAGGAGTTGGTCAGCACTTTCCTTGGGAGCTATTTGTTGGGGGTGTTTGTAAAGACTGGCCAACTCTCATTAGGTGGAGTGTGGTGCAAATACATAACTTAGAGCATTTAGGCATATAGCCAGCAGAATCCTTGAAACCCAGGTGGAACGTGCACAAGAGGTGGCCCAGGAACTTCAAAACCAGCACGAAGGACCAAACACAACCTCCCGCCCATATTGTATAAAGTGTCGGCTTGTACTCCTTGCTTGTTGGATCTTGGTATACAAATGAAGCTCTATACACCGTCCTGGGAGTACTTTGGCCATCACTGGAAGAAAAACGAGTCAAGATATCGTACACCACACTTAGCAAGAGGAGCAATCACTACTCCTTATGTTTTATGTTGATCTCTTGAGCATGGATGTGCGCGTTTTAGTATTCAACCAACACGGTATGAAACCCTTTTGACCAAGTGATGCCACAAAATGTTGACGTCATCCCTCCATCCCTGTGTCGGACGCGTTCAGGTTTGGACATGTGATCCACGAGTTCGACCCCTGGTTCAACTATCGTGCGGCAGCCCCTTGGCCAGTTCTGGGGGGTGGGTCCACAGCCGGCCGGAATGACTGGCCCTGGTTGCTGCGTTGGACCAAACGGTTCGCACCTCGAGACCTGAGTGGACGCCTATTGGTGGTGAATCGTTTGGGTACGCCTGGCATGACGGCCGCGCCACGTCGTTTGTGACGCCTTTTGGTCGCAATTGTTGGAACATGTG